CTATTAAACGGATCTGACCGACAATAATAAGATGAAAGAATATTGAAACGACATAACGTTTCTGCTTCAACTACACTACCTAAGATTTACGTACAGTTCCCTAACCGCTCCAAACAGTTGAGGGTATTGGAGCGANAAATTGGGTGAAACGCGCTCTTGCTGCTAGCGGCAGGGCGATGCGAAGGCATATCAGTCGGCCTTCGTGTTACGAATTTCCTTCCTTTTTTCCTCATTGCCTTCGATAAACTTGTTTATTTCCGGGATCATACCTTATTCCTTTGATACTGTCTTACTTTCCTAGGTGTTACTGTTACTCAGAAAGAGAATACTTAAAAAACGGGAACCTGTTAATCGAGATTAACAAGTGACAATGTAGAGCCACTTGAAAAAAGCACATCGATAGTGAACCCATCCTCAGATTGAGGTAGTGTAAGCTGCTTGGAACGGCCCTGGAAGTATAACTAAAAACAATTGGTAACAACAAACAACAACAATATAACCAAACATGCACTTTCATCTGTGGGCATATGGATTTAATAAGTAACGACACATAAAATTCGTTGTTTCAAAATATAATACGGAAAGCATGTGTCTGCATAAAACTCACCATATAGTCCAAGGAGTGGCCCAAACCATGAAAATTATTAGCACTCCTATATTTGAAAATGTATAGCATGCAGCCAATCTCCCAAAGGAATTTCTGAACACCTCATGACGGACCATCACAGTGAACGCGAGGAGATTACAGAATATGCCTATTACAGAAACCTAAAATCGATTTTTGAAGTTACATTATTTCATTGGCAATTGGTAAATGAACAAATCTTCATCGAGGTAATTCCCTGCACGTTCTGAAAATTTTCCAGATAACAATTACTCGGGGCCACCATGCTTTTTGTCGTCCGATAGACCGGGATAGTTTTCTTATGAAGTTTTTATGAATTAAGTTTTTGAAACCTCTTTGTCTTGATGAAACTCAGTTTAAATGTTTTTCAGCTTTATAAGCTTTTATTATTACTTATTATCAGTTTTACTTTTACACTGCTTTATTTCGAAAAAAGGCGAGTTGATGGAGAATAGTGCATCGGCGGAGAAAAAAGCGAGAGAACCTCCAAGTTTTGCGAAGGTAGGGCCTCCAAAACACCGGTAAGACATGCTGGGCTTTGAGTTTGTTACGGGGCAGTCTTTGAGTCCTTATTGCGCCTTATCGCCCTATTCAGGCCGTTTTTTAGTACGTCATCGCTCCATATGGCATATGTTGAAGCCACATGTCTGTCCTAGTTGGAGTTGGAAGTCATAGAATCTATTTTCATCGTCAAGTAAGCCTTTTGATGAGGTCAGATCACGGAATTTCGATCAGCAATCCATTTCTGTGAAGGAAGGAACAGAAAGGAGGAGTCTGTAGCCATAACGCGTGATCTCGCACTCTTCCCTGACCTGTGTAACCTTTAATCTACGATGAGGTCAGTGGGAGGTGTTACTGGTTATATTAAACAACAGTTAGTAGGAGAATAGTCGCCCTCCTGTCTTAGCGACGGACTTCAAGGTGAGCATCCATGCCTCATTCGATCGATACCTCTGAGCGTTTTCTGGTCTACTTGAACATTTCTTGGAGTTTTTGATGAGGCATTAGGGCGAAATGCCACACATATGCTTTGCACTATTCCAGTTCCTGACGAAGGCGAGGCAGCCAATTGAAGTGTCCAATCTTGAGAGGTTTGAAGAGGATTGATCTTCACTATATATCGTGCCAAGATTGCAAGAAAGTCGAACATGGTTTATTTCGGAAAATTGAGATATTCTTCGAAACCAACTGCACCATCGCTTGTCATGCACACGCTACGGACCCACCTAATTTGGAAAATCTGAAATATTCTTGTATTCTGAGCAGCCTGAGACTTGATATCGAGAACAGAGCTTGTACAGCTCGTTACGCTAATGTTGACTGTCTTGAACTCCACCCAAGTTTATTAAAGGCACCTATCACAAAAAAGTTAGGGTACCCTTTTCTGACGGGAATTGATAGAACTACTCTAGAATAAAGCGATAACAACGAAAAAAGCTCAAAAAACGATGAACAAAAAGAATTAAAAAGGGCCAAAAAAAGAGCTGGAAAGGGGTTGGGACGAGTTTCACAGTGAAAGAACGTCGGTTAGAGA